AGACGTAACGAGAGCTGCAGGACTTCTCAGTTTCTATTTAGTCACTTGGAGTAAAACAACACGGATTCACGGTCAGTGGTTGAATGGGGGTGACTACTACGAGGTCAAAATTATGAAGGATTTCTTCACATATGAAGTGAAAAAAGTACACCAAAATGAAGTAGGAATGTCAATTTATCTTAAGATAATTTACATAGAAAGATCGAATTTATTTTAGTAAAATTACGAATTATCTAAAACAATTTTCCTTACGGACTATATGTTTAGTAACAGTTACCAAATATATCTAATTTTCTGCTATCAAGATTTGGTGTTAATTATCAAAATTTCGTTTAATGATCTAAATGTATAATTCGAGCGGCTACATTTCGATTCTGAAAAACTATATATTTACTTCATCCAATCAAATTAATATTCAACTCTATGTGTATACATATAATTGTAGTTTTTTTTCAAATTTAGTTTTTTCTTTAAAATGTATTGCAGATCAATTGTTTTATTTCAAATGTATTGTAGACCAATTGTTTTATTATATAAATAAAGTCGAAAGAATTTTGTGTAAAAATACGTTTTATACTAAAAAATTATATATCTCGTCCAGCAGGCAGCGCCTTTCGCGCGGCCAGCTCGCAGCAGCGGCGTCTTCTTCAACAGTGCGCCTTCCTCGCGTCTTCACCGCTGAGCTTCTCCTCCCGACCACGCTACCTCAACAACTGGACATTCTTACAGCTCCTTTCCAGACGGAAGGTTTCACGCGCGACCATCAGAGGACACCTCGAGCAGCGCATTTCTCGAGGACACTTCACACGCGAGGCTGGTATAAAAGAAAAGCCTGCGTACCTACGACCAGCAGACCTACATATAGTCATCCTAAATAAATGAATACGTTTTGTTACTCAAAAGGAGTGTATCCTCTGCCTGTTATTTTTTTAACGAACCTTCTGAGAACATTTTTATAATACGAGCAAAATATTACGTGAAGATGGACATTTAACATCGATGGAGCATTTTTGTAACGTTAAAAAGTATCGCATAACATTCTTGGAATGTTACAAAAAAATGATTTCCGTATTGAATAACATTCGTATGATATTCTAGGAATATCACGCGCTTATAGGGAAGGGGAAACAATCCAGGTGTTGCGGCTGCACAGCCGCACGAGCTCCCCCGGAAATCTCTTATCATCGCGCCATGAGTCCGTTCTCTCTTGTGTGTTCTGCATTTACGCACACGGAGCGTTATCAGCGCAACGGGAAACACGCCGACGATGATTAAACGTCGTACGATTCATCGAACGGTCAATTAACGGTTCGACTTATCGGACTCGGTTTTCAGCGTTTCCAGAGCGTCGAGAAGAAGCCCGGAGTAATCGCGTCATGTCGAATTCGTCGGAAACGCCAGTCGACGCGCGGGAGAAAGGAAGAGAGAGAGAGAGAGAAAGAGAAGGAGAGAACCGTTTGTTTCCGTTCTACATAACGCATTATGATATGTTGCGTGTCCGTGGCGACGGCCGACGTCAGGCTCGTTAGTTCTTCATTTCACCAGAATCGCACCCTTCGATCCCTCGTCAAGCTTGACATATTATTATTACGCATATCCATCGGAATAACGTCAATTTACCCGCAAGGAATACCGCGTTTTTGCGGAGAGACGGGCGAAGAGTCAGCCGGCGGATTCCGCGGTCGCGTTCCATATTCCCCGCGAACCAGGCGAGTCAGATTCGAAGAGGCAGGTGCGTACGCACAGGTGCGTTCGTTAGAGAGGACGAAAGATTTACACATCTATTTCTACCACATTCGACCTCTCTCTCTCTCTCTCTCTCTCTCTCCCCCTCCCTCTTTCTCTTGTTCCTATCTCTTATTCCTATCGATCGCATAGCAACAGTATTTGACAGTATCTAGATAAGATGATCTAAATAATCCAGATGAATGAATAAATAGATCATCTTAATCTTTATCTAGATGCAAGAAATACGAAATATATTGATCATCATCTTGAATAAGAAAACATATTATCTTATCTAACAATTATTTGAAATGATGTGGTCCGTATTTGGAACTCACATTTCGATCAAATGAACGAAATAATATGGAATGTTAAGCCCATATCAGACTAGAGATTGGAGATTAGATTTCAACGAATCAACCAATTTCACTTTTGTCCGCTTCGATATCTGTCTTTTTTAGCCGCACTGCTGAACTGGCGGAATGAGTTGGAGCGAGACGAAATATACTAACTTATTGCACTAACTCAGCAGTGCAACTAAAAGAACAGTCCATTGCTTTCAATTGATCAATTCACTTTAAGCCTGTATCAAACTGTCGACCGTGCGTGAGCAATGATTATTTTTGTTGAATTCTTAAATTTAAAGCAATCATGTGGACGAATTAGTTAACCATCGTACAATTTTATGATATGCGTGATTTTTATTATACATTTTTACAAAGTCTCTCATGAAAACAATATAATCTAAAAATTATCTAAATAAGTAGCCGCCGTTATCTTATCTCTCATCTAGATAAATCCAAAGCAAAATCATCATCTTATTTAAGAATTTTTCGGATTTTCGTCCCATCTTCATCTAAATGAATCTGAATCATCTAAGGCAAACACTGCGTACGGCGCACTGCGATGCTTTCGCGAGTAGCCGAGCATACTCGAAAAACGGAGACGATCAAAGGGACTCAGAAGACACACCGTCTCACTGGGTCAGCTTCGGTCGCCGAAGCGCGGTTCGCGATTTAGGACGCGCGGCGCATGTCATCGCCTCGCGCATTCCTGCCGCGCGCACGGCAAAAAATCCCCAATTCCTGTGACTGAATTCCGAGGCCGAGTGGAAACTCTAGTGAGAAGTGAAAATTGGGTGAGACGAGAAATGATATCTCTGTTATTGAGCAGGTGAAAATATTCGTGTGAACATTCAGTTGAAAATTGATTGAGACAACTATCGGAGTCGAAATTTTGGCCCTATAATTCTATTTAAGCCTTTAATTCTATTCTATTGTATAATATGGTATCTAAAGTAGGCTAAAGTAGCTAAAAGAGTTCAACTCTAATGATCAAGAGATATACCAGTACCATCGATATTTCGTACTAAGTACAATTTATATTTTCTGATTATGTCAATATCAACTTTGATAATTTCAAATTTCTGTTTTCGTTGCTTTCAACGTCATGACAGATTGTTTTAAATATTCATATATGATCTCAACGATTGGAATATCGGGAGCATTCATAGCTTCAAGATAGCAGTAAAATTAAATTTATAGAAGTAAAGATTCAAGAGAGAAAGAGAGAGGAGGAAAAGAATTGATAAATCTAGCATCATCGAAGTAGGCTTTTATTAATTTACAAGTCATTTGAGTAACCTTAAACTATCTTTAAGAGCGTCAAAGTAGCATCAAATTTCGAGTGACAGCAATTGACTGAGTATCCGAAGCGAAATTTCTAAGTCCTACGTTAAATCTTGAATTTTATAACACAATGGAGACAAAACCAAAATTTATTAATTCATTAAAACCTAATCTCCAATCCCCAGTCTGACACGGGCTTAACGCAAAAGTCGATATTATTTCATTCATCTTACCGAAAAGTGAATTCAGAATACCGACCATATTTTCTTTCGTTCCTATCTCTCATTCCTATCGATCGCATAGCAACAGTGTTTGCCAATATCTAGATAAAATTATCTAAATAATCATCCAGATGAATAAATAGATCATCTCGATCTTTATCTAGATGCAAGATATATTTATCATCTAGATAGAAAATATATTTATCATCATCTTAGAGAAAGAAAACATATTATCTCATCTAACAATTATTTGAAACGATGTTCCCCATATTCTGAACTCACATTTCGATAAAATGAATAAAATAATACGGAACCATACGTTAAGCCCATATCAGACAAGGGATTAGAGATTAGATTTCAACGAATCAACAAACAAAATAACACCACCTCAGCCAATTTTAAGCGAGGAAACATTTCTCTTATCTGCGTTGAAGACGAATAAAATTTTCATTTCTCTCATCCAGACGAAGATAAAGATGATTTGTTTATTCATCTGGCTGATTATCTGTAGATAATAACATCTAGATACCAGCACACACTGGCCATAGGTCGCGACTTGACCCAGAGTCTTCGGAATCGCGCAAGCACAGTCCTCTCTCTCATCGAGGCGATCGCGCGCGCGCGCCAGTCATGACGCGGCGCCGCGCCGAGGCAGAAGACGAGGTCTCTCTCCTCCCTCGGTCGCCTCTCTCCAACCGAGAGAGAGAGGCGATGCGCACACGTGCACCTCGGGGCATTCGCGGGCAGTTGTGGCAGTTGGCTCTTGAAAGCCGCCCAGTGAATGCCTCTCGCACGGATCTCATACGCGCGCGCGCGTTTCTTTTTTTACCGATCTCTCTCTTTCTCTCTCTCTCTCTCTTACCTGCATGGTGCACCTTCCGGTGCCCTCCGTAAAATTTCGCGAGGGAGGTATCCCGTCGAGATCTCAACCGCCCCCGGCGGGAAGTAGGAAGGGAGGAGGGAGGGAGAGGGGGTTAGGTTTCCGAGGAATAACGAAAACCTGGGAAGGAGGGAAGGGAAAAGGGAGGAAATTCGGTGATGAGACGTTTTCGTCCCAAGTGATTTTTCATCGACGACTTTTAACACGTACAAGTGATTTTTCATTGTATAATGTTAACAATGTGTTTGTGATGATACGCTGATAAGTTGGTGCAGGAATACACGTGTTTCCTGGGAGACACTCCGCGCGAAAAGACTCCGGGAGGCGCGCGCGATGATTTCAAGCGGCGAGCGGAGTGCCGAATGTTGACGCGAAGCGACGGAAGATGCTGTGAAGAGAGAAAGAGAAGGGGTGACGAAGGGAAGAAGGAGACAAAGGGAGAGAGAGAGAGAGAGGGGGAGGGGGAGGAACGCGGGGGCGACGCCGATTTTTAATGGGACGCTAATCGCCTCGATGAACAGAGGAGGATCCGTTTCGCGTCGCGGCGCGGCGCGCCGGTCCGTCGGTCGGTCGGTCGGTGGTGAAATTGATGCCGCGCGCGGACGGGATGAATAACTTCTGCTGAATGTCGGAGGATATTCAGTGGGATTGTCCGTGTGTCTGTGTGCGTGTGTGTGTGTGTGTTGCGCTCAGAGCATTTCAGATTGTTCTTTGTTCCGACGGTCTTACGCAAGGATCGCATTACGCCGCAACGCGCATCACCTGAGTCGCCTGCGTACCTGTGTTGTTAAACGCGCGACACGTGGGTGTGTGTGTGAGTAACATTTTCCGCATATACAGTCGTTCCTTCCGCGTTTAAGGTGTTTCTCTATGAGCGCGTAATATTCGCAGAATGTTATATGAATATTATTCAATAACGAAATAAGATTTTTATAATATAATATTTTTTATAATATAATTTTTATAATATTCCGAGATGGTTATGTAATGTTTTTTTTAATATTGCAGGAATGTTTCAGTGATATGTCCATTTCACGTAATATTCTTGGCACATATTATAAAAATGTTCTTGGAATATTAAAAAGAGAAATAAAATAATAACATAGAAAAGTATATATAAATAAAATATATATGTATATATATATATATATTATATAGAATGCCAAACTAATCTCGGTTCCAGTGGTGTGCAAGTAGAATGGATGAAACTGAACAGAAAAGTCCTATAGCATTTTTCAAATAACACGCAAAATTTCGAGTTATCAATGATTGAAAATGGCCGTGTACAGAGGCTTCTTTAATTAATAACTGAAAAATTTGCGTGTTACATATATATATATATATATATATATATATATATATATATATATGTGTGTGTGTGTGTGTGTGTGTGTGTGTGTGTGTATATATATATGTGTATGTATGTATATATGTATGTATATATGTATGTATATATGTATGTATATATGTATGTATGCATGTATAACTTTTTTAGTATAAAACGTATTTTTGCAGAAAAGTCTTCCGACTTTATATAATCAAGCAATTGGAATTGCCATACATATTTGAAATAAAAGTCTACAATTACATATATTGTATATATACATAGAGTTGAAAATTTAACAAATATTGCAAAGTATATAAAAATTATAGGAGAATAATCAATTGTGATCGGTCAATTTTTTCAGGCCCATAGCTTAAATTCTCATTGCAGACTCCGCTTTAGTCTCGGTCTATAAGAGATGCTTAAGCTGAGTCTTAAAAAATTGTCCCATCGAATTGTAGAAGAAAAACCAATTATGATTGGTCAGTTTCTCAAATCCTATATCTTAATTTCTCATTGTAGACCTCGCTTTAATTCTGGTCTACAATAGATGTTTTAAGCTCTAAGCCTTAAGAAATTAACCAATCACAGTCCAATTATGAAAGAAAAATTAACTATGATTAGCCAATTTCTTAAATCTTACGCCTTCAATTTTTATCGCAGACCCCGCTTTAAGCGCTTCGAAAGGTAAATCAGCGTCTCGACGCGTGCCTTCGATTTAGCGCGTCGATGAATTCACGTTGCTGCTGTTTTACTTTCGAAGGAAATCCACGCGATAACTTTCCACCGTGTTGTCCGACGATAATTACTTTTCGATCGGCTTTTGCAAATCTTGTTCGACTTTCACTGAATATATCGTATTCACGCGCACACGAGTCCTTTACTTTGAAAGTGACGCAAGTTCATTCCTGTTGTTCGTTTCTCTTCCCTTCTTTTTCTTCTCTTCATTGCGTTAATATTGTATATCTTTGTAATTAAAAGAACTTCAAATAGAATTCCGGCCAAGTATACTTCACTTGAAAAACTAACTGGAAAATCCGCAGTAAGTGAGAAATCATTAACACAATGTTATTACAATGATATTTTATAATATGTTACTTCTTCAAATATGTAGTTCAAATTTGTAATTTTTAATGCTGCATTCAACGTCATTATTAACGATATTTAATCGAAACACTAATAATGATGTTTCTGCACTACGATTTTAATATTCAAGAATATAAACATTATCAAATAACAGTTAAAAAACATTTATAAAATATTACGTCGAAATGTTTATAAAATCCATATAAAATCAATATTTTAAAGGATTGATTTCATGCTTCTCGCTTACTGGGCCTAATTTGGTTATTTAAATTGTGCGTGGTTTTCATTTGACTTCCCGAAGTCGATCCGTCAGTTAAAGCCGAAGAGGCCTTATTTCTTAATCGGCTTATAACTCGAGGGGTGTTCACGTCTGATGTCCACTTTTACATCGGAATTCCTCGCGTCGATCAAACTCCGGAAATGCATTATTCAAGTATCGCACGATGTGGCTGAAAGACACCCGGCATAAATGCACACAATGTACTCGCTATTCGGCCGGGAGGGGAGACGCACTTCGACAGGTACTCGCGTATTCGTACAGCGGAGCGCGGCGTAACGGTTTCACGGGTTTTTCACCAGTGTCAGTGGATCAGTGGGTTTTCCAACAACGATTTCCCGGTAGCGCGCGCCGGCGCTTCCTCGCCGATCTCGACTCGATTTGTACCGTAAGCACCGTAAATACGTCCGAAACGTATAAGCGGACCGATAATCAGCAGAACGGCAATAAAGTTGAATTACAAGTTCCCCGACGGTGGAAAACGGCCGACCGTCAATTTCCACAATCGCAGTGGTCATCCCGACGGCTCTTCCTCCTTCTCTCCTTTCTCCTTTCCGTCAAGACGCGCGCACAAAAATATACACGAACGTGGAACAGGGAATCCTAATCGTCGGGAATGCGATGATTAATCGAATGAAAGGGCTGATCTCTGAATCAAAGGACTTGGGCGACTTGCACGTTCGAAAACTCACGCGCTCGCGACAGCTTACGACTTGATTTACGCGCGAATAATGGAGGGAAGATAAATCGCCGCGGCACTTAACGTGTGCATCCAAGTCGAGTCACTCGAAATAATCGCGGCGGCTCCGTTACGCCGGCAAAAAAATCGCCTCACGATCGTCGTTCGGTCGGTCGGAGGGAGGAAGACGAGCGGGATGGCGGGAATATTTCGAAAGAACCGCATCCTCTCCGTTAGAGAGATGGAGAGAGAGAGAGAGAGAGAGACCGGCCAACCGTCGTCACGCGCGCACGCCGGAGGACGAGTGTGGGAATACCTGAGGCGGATCAGTGACAGTGACACTAATGACATTCGCGACCGGCAAAGAGAGAGAGAGAGAGAGGAAAAAAGGGAACTGCGTGTACTTAAGATTGCGCGTAGTCGCAGTACGTGAACGATCTCGCGATCGTATGATCGCCAGATCGTGGGAAAGCGCGAGCGCGCGCGCGAGAGTCAAATGAAATATATATCCCTATAAGCGTGCAAACTTCCTAGAATATCATACGAATATTATTCGATATTGAAACAATGTTCCCATAATATTTTAAGAATGTTATGGGGTATTTATTTATTTAGTTAGAGGAACGTTCTATCGACGTTACACCCTCGCTTCATGTCATGTTTGAAATTTTCATCATATTTGATAAAATATAATTGGAATAACATTGCGTTAGTGAATTCTCACTTACTAGGGATTTTTCGGTTAATTTCTCAAGTGAAGTACACTCAGCCGGAATTCTATTTGATATTCTTGGCACATTACAAAAATATTCTTAGAATATGAAAAAAGAATTAAATAATGATAAAAAAGAAAAATATATGCGAAATGAAATATACCAATATTTACATACGCAAATTTTTCAGTTATTAATTAAAGAAGCCTCTATAAATGACCATTTTCAATCACTGATAACTCGAAATTTTGCGTGTTATTTGCAAAATGGTATAAAACATTTCCGCTCAGTTTCACCCCGTTTTACTTGCACACCACGGGAACCGAAATTAGTTTGGGACAACATGTAGAATAATGATTCCTTAACATAATTCGACCGATAGACGAGCCATATTGTAAAGCCGGTGGTCGGAAGTTAGTGAAATGTAAAAAGTTAAATTGCGTCTAATAATACGGCGAGGGACTGTAGTTATGGAAAAAGTCGACATACTCACGTTTCTCGACTATAAACTACCGAACCGTGTCAAAAAGTATATGAACTTCGTCTACTGCGTGCAGTGGGTGCAACTGAAGTGGCACTTTTTGCTAGTAAGCGCGTTCGGTTATGTTAGCATTAGTTAATTTTTATGCCGCAATGTGCTGAAGTTTTTCTCGAGCAGTCTCCTTGTAGATTTACAAGTTATGATTCGGCGGTAAATACTTTAATCAGATAATATTATTTATGGTTTATCTTTCGAACTTTGTAAATAATTCTTTCTAGATCTCGTGCCGATTCTTCCGTCGCCGAACCACGCGAGAAAGAGATTAGATTATTCTATGAGCCGACGTACTTGAATTTATCGATCTTTCAACCGACATACTTAAACTTTGCTGTGAAATATCATCTCATAGAATATAATTGAAGCTACCGGTGACTGATTTTTCCTTTGCTTTCCTTGTCTGCTTTTCCGCTTGAGATGTTTTTGTTTATTTAAACAGGTCAGAAGAAAAAGTCGGGTGCCTCTCTATATAATAAAAAATATGTAAGATTGAAGATAACACGTAACGATATACAGAATGTCCCGAACTATCTTGGTTCCCGTGGATTCGGCCGTTTTGAACAAAAAAATTCTGTATCATTTTGCAAATAACACGCAAATTGTTGAGCTATTAATTAAAGAAGCCTCTATACGTGACCATTTTCAACCGTTGACAACTCAAAATTTCGCGGGCTATTTGCAAAATGGTATAAAACGTTTCTGCTCAGTTTCATCCAAGTTCTACTTGCACACCACGGGAACCGAGATTAGTTTAGGACACCCTATATAATAAATGTAGAACATAATATAATTTCAGTACTTTCGTTTCATTTTTTACAATTTCCTAACAGGTATTACAGATATTTCGATTTTCGGGTCTATTCTCGACGCGTCATTTCTCCATTAAAAGCTCTCAAAAACTAGTTATCTGCAGGACAATATGTAAAATTGTCGAGAAACTAAAATATATTTCAATATCGAAATGCCGCTTTGAAATTATTCCTTGCAAATAAATTTTTATTCTACACTTTCAGCAGAGCTTTAGCCTCTAAAAACAAAATGGTGTCTCGGTTTTCACGCTTTTCCTCCATGTCGCTGCTTCTATCTTTGCAGTACTTTTGCAGTTAAATTCACCAAAAACGGGTGTATAGTGCCAAGGATGAAAATAATTAGGATTAGGATATTAGGATTCCTCCCAGCGCGATCGCGAAAGCGATAATTCGTCGAGAGGGAAATATCGCGGATAATAATCGACAGTTGGGTGAAATTCGCGGAGCGAAAGATAAGATAGAAGACGCGGATGTGCCGGGGGGAAGGGAGGGGGGGTGGAGTGGAAGCGCGCAGAAAAGTCGGAATGCGCGATGAAAACGGCGGAAGGGGAGGAGGAGGAGGAGGAGGAGGTGGAAACTGACGAGCGAGCTAAACTCGGCAACGCGGGATCGTTGCGCGGCTTTATAAATAGATTTTCATTAGAACGGAAAGTAAGAACGTTGACATAAAACATTCCCACCGTAAATGTCGCCGCTATTATTTACAGGCATTCTCCGCGTGCGCGCGCGCGCGCCTGGTATCTTAATAAAGTCGCGTCATAAAAGCGCGCTTGCGCAGATGATTTTAATCCTCGGAAGCACGCCGGGAAGTACATTTCCCACCTTTTTTTCTTTCAGATATTTCTCGATAAGATTTTCACTGTTATATCTACACTGTTTCTTTTTTTCTATTTTTTCTAGTATCTTAGCGACAGGTGAATGTGAAACTATTATCAAAATGCACATTTTGTTGTCACATTGTGACTGCAAAAGTGTTATAAATAACCGAATTAAGAAAAAAGTTTTTTTTCAGAGAAAATGCATTTTCCGCCGACTTTTCCAAAATTTAGGTGTTAAAACGATTACGAATCTGATATCAAAATTAGAGGATTCTTAAAATCATAGATGGCGGTCCAATATGGCAGATCGAAATTAGCAAATCAAGCAATTCTCTTCAAATGCTATCCATAGGATTTTCGGGTCGCTGATTACGAATCTGATATCGCAATTAAAAGATTTTCAAAATTCAAAATGACGGTCCAATATGGCGGATTGAAATTACAGCAAATCAGGCAATTCTCTTCAAATGTTGCATATAGAAGGTTTTCGCTGATTATGAATCCGAAATTGAAAATTTCAAAATTGAAAAATTACAAAATTCGAAATGTTGAATGCAAAATAGTGGATCGAACATGCGACAACTCAGTGTCTACGACTTTCAGAGTACAAATTATGAAATGCAATATCGCGAAAACGAATTAGAGGGATTGAAATTATATAATCTGCAAATTAGACAAAATTTTGCTTATACCAAATTGGAGGAGAATTCAGTTGATTCGTTACAATTTCGGCCCTCCGTATTGGAACCGTCATTTTAAATTTAAGAAATTTTTCAATTTTGACCTCAGATTCGTGATCGGCGCCCCGAGAAACCCGCCCGGTTGCTAAATTTGCTGAAAAATAAGCGAGGGGGAAAATGTGTGCTTCGAAAGGGTTAATCCCTCCGCTAAGAAATGCAGCAGCGCGCGGGCTATTTTATAAATGCTACTTTCGAGTCGAGTTGCCTCGACCTGTAATTACGCAAGTGTAAACACAATCGTACGATGCGCGAGTATCTCACCGCGACGGAGCGCGAGCGAGCGTTCGCGGTTCAGCACAAACCGGCCGTCTCGTAACGGAATAGAACCACAATGGGAACGGGAGACAAAACCGCACTGTAAATCCAAGTGTATTCTTTTTCCACGCATAAACGTCTCAAAATGACACATACAACACTACAATCGGTCTCATCAGAGCGTGGCATATCGATATCTACGAGCATTGTTAAACAGTTGGTAAAAATTCCCCGGTAAATATTTGGGGTTTGCTTTAATATTCGAAGTTCGGGAACTTCAATCCTCTTCACGAAAAATCTCAATGCCCAGAGCATGACAACACCGCATCAACGAGGTTTATTGAAGTCTGAATCAAAAAGTGATTTCGAGCAGAAACAACCAATTGGATACTCTTCGGGAAGACGACGAGTCGAAACGTCAGAGTCGTTTGTGCACTGCGTGGAAAGAGAAAAATGAAAACCTCGGATTGCCCCGCACACAATCACCGAGTGCGAATCCGATTGAGAACGTTTGGGCTTTTGTAATAAGGAAGGGGAAACGTGTGTGTTTTCACTGCCAAACAATTGTCATCCTCCAACAATTATCGTCTTCGAGAAATTTGTCGATCACTTCCTACGAAATGTGTTGAAAAATCGTTTCAATATATAGAGTTGAATATTTGAAAAATATATAATATTGCAATAACATTAAATAATCTATTAATATTCTATCTATTAATATTCATCTATTAATATTCCAGAAATATTACTTAATATTAAATAACATTACGCGTTTATAGGCGTTTATATTACTGAACAATCTATTAAGTAATTGCGTAACAATGCACAAAGAATACTTTTCAACCGTAACAGTTTTTCCGAATTATAAGGATTTTTCTTGCAGATGCGCCACGTTTTTATGGGACAAACTGTGCGTTCCAATTTCGTTCATCTTTTACCGCAGATTAAATTTTGTAGTCCACCAATTTCCACATGAGATTATCAATCTGATTGGATTGCAGTGTTCGCAGCAAAATTCATGTAACTCTAAGACTCTAAGACTCAATTATCTTCACCTGATTTCTTCTCAGCGTGCTTAACCTACTCTGCGTTAATCGACGTTCGTTATAAAAACATCCCATCTGTCGAATAGCGAATTCGATTCGCTCAATTTTAATTCCACGTTTATCAATAACAGTGTTCGCGTTCCGCAAAAGAGCGGACCGATATTAATCCAGCCTTACAGCCACGAGCTGTTTATAAACATTCCAAGCTCACTCATTCCAATGAATAGCCCGGATAGCCGGTTTACTTATGATGTTCTCGCACACGCAGAGAGCTCTGCGAACCACGCATTGAAATTCCTCGCGCAATGTCGGACGCGAAACAAACACAAACTTTTTCAGAGCGAGCATGCTATAGAGAGAGAGAGAGAGAGAGAAACACCAGTTAAATCGCGACGTATTATTTCAGAAGGTGAACGCGCGTGGAAACCAAAAGAAAGTTCCCGTTTAACACTTTGAAGCACACAATTTCTCCCCCGCTTAGTTTTCGTCAAAATTGACATCTGAGGAATTTTTGAGGCCGGTCGCGAATCTGAGGTCAAAATTAAAAGATTTCTTAAATCTAAGATGGCGGGTCCAATATGGAAGACTGAAATTGTAGCGAATCAATCGAATCACTACAAATTTAATATAAGATTTGGTCTACGCTGATGAGATTGTATTATTTTTATTCCCCTAATTCGTTTTCGCAATATCGCATTTCATCATTTGCATTCGGAAGCTTTGCAAGCTATAAACACTGAATTTTCGCATGTTCGTTTTCAACATTTCGAATTTTGTAATTTTTCAATTTTAACCCCAGATTCGTAATCAGCAACTCGAAAACCCTCTGTATTGAAGAGAATTGCTTGATTTGCTGCAATTTCGCTCCGCTACATTAGACCGCCATCTTCGATTTTGAAAATCTTCCCATTCTGACATCAGATTCGTAATCGGCGACTTCAAAATATCCTATATGTAAATTTCAACACCAAAATTTTGGAAATCGTCGCTGGAATTTTTCTCAATTTGGTAATCTACAACACTTTTGCGGCTAACCCTTAAATGCATAGTGTTGCAAATTTGCAACATATTTATTTTTCCACATGTAAAATACTCGTCCTCAGGAATAATTCATAACGCTTCATAGTCGCATATTTGCAACAATCTGCTTTAAATATACGGTTCAAAGTTATGCTGCAAAACGCCTTTTGTGCACAATGTTGCATTTTTGCAAGTACGAAGAATTTTGAAAACAAAGAGAATTTCTTTTACTTAGATTTTTTAAAATATTTTTCTCATTTTCTGGTACTACCTATGAACCTAAGAGACAAATAATTCAGTAATAAAAAAAATTCATACATTTGAGCGTTAACAAAATGTATATTTCGATGATTTTTTTTTCTTTTTATATTCACCTGTCCCTAAGATATTAGGGAGATAAGAAAAACAGTGCAAATAGAGCGGTGAGAATTTTATCGACAAAAATGTGAAAGTGAAAAGATGGGAAGTGTACTTCCCACCTTCTAAGGGGTTAAGAAGTCGAAGTGGAGCGAATAGTTGGACGGAGCCGGGAGGATCACAAAGACTCTCGGCCACTTCTCCGAGGTTCTCTCCGTCCGTCCGTCCGTCCGTTCGGGGGAGAAGGTACGGAGTCGTTACTTAAGCTGTTACACGAGTCCGACTGAAGGCCAGGGTCGTCGTGGCACGCGAGAATCACGCAGTCCAGAATCCCACGGCCCTAATGGCCGGTCATGCGATCGAATCCTGCTTGATCCTCGCGTGCTACACATATAAATATAACGGGGGAAGAACCTTTTTGCCGTCGAATCACCGCGAAACTTTGTGTGTCGGGAAAGAAAAAGCAATTAATCGCGTCGGATGGATTGGAAAAAGCGGAAAATTCGAGAGCGCGCGCGGATCGTCTCGCGCGATAGAAATGAATCGTGACGCGATTAACGAGTAAAACATTAGTGAGGAACTGTAATAAAGTTGTGAGGCGCCGCCGGAAGCAGGTCGAAAAGGACGATGTCGTGAGGGTCCTTCCTTCCTTCACTCCTTCGAAAATTCGTGCACGTCGCGTGACGACAACAGTGTGGACGTTTCGACTCGCAGTGAGATGTGCGTGTTTGTTCCGTTGTTGTAGAATTCCGCTGACGAATGACGATGGGGAACGCGAGGTCGCAGCCTTGCCGAGGTCGCGGCAAGCCGCTCTACCTGTTCTACCTTATCCACCGTACCTGGAGCATCGTCGTGGATCACCGATCATCCAAGGATCGAGACCGGTGCGACGAGACCGACCGAGAGACCGACCTGTCGTCGAAGTGCAGCACCTGCAATGCCTGCGATTACCGACGGGACAGCCTCACCTTCGACAGGTAACATCGCACGTTCTGTTCGATCGAGCGAACTGTTTTATCAATGGAGGATATACTTTGGCGCACTTTGCACACAGGCCGTTAGATAAATCGAACGCCATCAACGCGAATAAATTCTGACCGTTATTACCGACCGGACGGGAGCTTAGAACTTCGGCGCGAAGATCGGTGAAATTGTTTCCGACGGAATGGGAAAGTCATAGCCCGGAGCTGATGTACAAGGATTGCACGTAAACATATATAGGGTGTCCCAAATTAATCTCGGTTCTCGTAGTGTGCAAATAAAACGGGTGAAGCCGCGAACTGAGCAGAAAGAGTCATATACCATTTTGCAAATGACACGCAAAACTTCAATGATAGAAAATAGCCATATAGAGGCTTCTTTAATTAATAACCCAATAATTTGCGTGCTATTTGCAAAATGGTGTAGGACTTTTCTGCTCACTTTCACCGGTTTTACTTGCACACCACGGGAACCAAGATTAGTTTGGGACACTCTGTATAATACGTATAATTAATTATGTCGAGAAAAATTGATTACACAGCCAAAATAGGGAGTTCATAAAACGAGACAGAAGAACTTATATTTCTCGAATTTGCTTTATCGTCTCGAACTTTTACTTATCATATCTTTAATAATTCGACCGTCAATTAAGTGCTTTCGTACAATTAATGATAACCTGCGTGGTGATTGGTGCATGTCGGAGCGATGATTTTTTCCTTCGCACAAATATTTCTACTCTCTAAATTTCTCGGAGTGAAATTTCACACGAGAGAGACGACAGTGAAAATATCGCCGCACAGAATCAGCGATCGGAAGAGCGAGTGTTTAACTCGAGCATAAAACGGACTCTTAATCCATACGAGCTAATATTTCAATCGATTAGAGCGATCCATTCCTGCGAGACGGTACAGTAATCAGTGTCGCTCTTCGATATCGAATAAAAATATTCGCTCGTCGATTCATTCTACATGAATGAAGAGTGCATCAATCTCGACTGACTTCGGTTGTCACTTCGCATGTCGAATGATTTATCATTCGCAAAAATCTACGCAGGGCACGTAAATACTTTGTAACAAGCGAATTGAACCTGCTTTTCCCATGTGTATCAGTGATCAGTGTTTGCCTTAGATGATTTCAGATTCATCTAGATAAAGATGGATGAAGATGAGATGAAAATCCGAAAAAATTCATCTTAGATCAGAAGATGATTTTGCTTTTGACTTGTCTAGATGAGTAGCGCTACTTATCTATATAATTTTTTCGATGACATTACTTCATGAGAGATTTTATAAATATTTAAATAATAATAATAAAACGCAGATCATAAAATTACATAACGGTTGAGGAATTCAACGTAATTCAACGTAATGATGATACGGGCTTAACGCATAGGTCCATATTATTTCATTCGTTTGATGGAAAAGTGAATTCAGAATATATACCATAACATCATTTTCAGATAATTTTTAGATGAGATAACATGTTGTTTTATCTAAGATAAAGATGAATATATTTGGTATTTCTTTCACCTAGATGAAAATAGGGACAACCTATTTATCCATCTGGATAATTATTTAGATAATTGTATCCAGATACCGGCAAACACTGTCAATGATTTATGACACGAATGAAATGCACGAGGGATATCTCGGTCTGTAGAAATTTTCGTCAATCATGAACATTTCTTTGCTTCCACTCGAGCAGAACATAATCGCATAGGCCGCGGATATCTATAGAAACTAACGTACGTAATTTTTGTCGCACGTGTATCCGATAGGAAACTATCCGTGAAAACCGTTTCGTTTCACATCGAGTGTTTCACCTAGATCGATAATCCTAGTTTCACAGTTCTACCTATCCAATGAAATATCGCATCACGTTCGGTCGCAATCACGTGAGATGTCGTAATCACAGAAGATGTCGTAAATATCTCCAATTAAATATTCATTTTGATCTTTCCTTCTTTTTTTACCTCAGTCTGCAAATTTTAATCCGACAAATATTGCCGCTCTTGCCTCACGTATCGTGGACTCATCACGAGGAAGTCAAATTCAAAAAAGTGGTCCGTATGGAATTTCTTATATATATAATTATAATAAATTCTTATGAATATATACAAGATGTCCCAAAATAATCTTGGTTTCCGTGGTGCGCAAGTAGAAAGGGTGAAACTGAACAGAAAAGTCCTACGCGATTTTGCAAATGACGCGCAAAATTTCGAGTTATCGCTGATTGTAAATGGTCATTTATCGAGGCTTCTTTAATTAATAGCTCAACAATTTGCGTGTCATTTGCAAGACGACGACGGACTTTTTCGTTCCGAACAGTCTAATCTACAAGTACGTGACAACTGTTGCACCTAACGACAAGTTCCAAGTTCAAGGGTCAAAGTTCAATATATAGTGATGTTCGCCGTTAGCTGCAACAATCGTCACATATTTATTGTTCAGGCTACTCTGAACGAAGAAGTTATCCACCATTTTGCAAGTAACACGCAAATTGTTGAGTTATTAATTAAAGAAACCTCCATACACGAGACCATTTTCAGCCGTTGACGACTCAAAATTTTGCGGGTTATTCGCAAAATGATATAAAGTATTTCTGTTCAGTTTCACCCGTCCTACTCGCACACCACGTGAACCGAAATTAGTTTGGGACGTCCCGAATATCCGTTTGTCCACTTATAATTGGATTATCCGATCGAAATATGATCGTATATCTTTCTCGGTGTACGCGACCGATTAATTTCCAACGTGCCGTCATCATTAGCGCGTATCATTAACGATATATTATATCCTCTCCCTCTCTCTCTCTCTCTTTTTATTTCGCCGTTCGACGCCGGAGCGTAACAAAAGTCACGCCCGGCTCGTCCGCTGCGATTTATTCACGACCGAAGGAGGAAGGAGGAGGAGGGGGGGNGGGGGGAGTCGTTCGAGTTCGCGCGAAGAAGCGAGTTCCACCATCGGCGCACGTCCGTTTTGTGCTCATTCTGTATGCATACGGTTGAAGAAAACGGTTGATTATCGGCTACGCGCTACGCGTCGTCCCTTCCGCCCTGTCGCGCGGTGACGCATCGCGCGCGCGGGGATAAACTCGCAGATAAACTCTGCTTACATTACGCGAGGCAGGTGGAGAGGCGCCTCCTTGCCTTACCTCGCGCGCTGCTCTCCGCCGGCGCGCGCTGCATCGGTCGCCGCGACGGACGCGGTGTCAGTAAACCTCCGGCAGTCTCGCCGAGCGTGTCGGGGCGAGTCGGAGCGAGTTCGTGCTGCCTTCCCCGAGTTGAAATCTTCCGATCTCGATCTCCCTCGATCTCTCGATCTCGATTTCGCGCGCGCCACCGCGCGGAGACGGCTCGAAGAATCGACGCTAAGCGAACGCGGAGCGCCGATATGTCCCTCGTCGGTCGTCCCGGAAACGGCTGAACATTGGGAGTCGGGAGCGTTATTTTCATGCGCGTCCTCGAGTACGCGCCGATGCGAGGTACCAGCTCGAAGACGTCCGCTTGATCGATCGAGGTAAGATCACTCCGACGTCGCTGCTTTTCGCGATGAATCGGGGAATAAAGAAGGTCGAAGAGGTTATCCGATCGGGCGGAGTTGGAGAATCGGGGATTCGATCGGTGACTGAATTATCCGATCGGATATCGAATCGCCCGATAACAGAGCCGCACTTCTCTTACTTCTCTTACAAGATTACGTTTTCCTTTTCACTTTGGGGAAGGAAATGAAACCTGGGAATTTTACTGTCGGGGCATCCCGTCGCTTCGCCTGCGAAGTGAGAAAAGAGAGCGAAAGATCGCGGGCGGGCTCGAGTGAGTTTCTTCAGAACGAGACATTTCGTAGAGTCGCGCGCGCATGTCGCGAGGAATCACGCTCGGCGTGATAATTATGTTTATGTACACAGTATTGTCGCGAAGTATCCGACGGCGCGTGCGGATGGCGTGCGGATCATGCGAGATCGTGTGACAGGTCGCACTCGAGAATCTTCGGAGGGACAATGTTGCAACGCGAGGACCCTCCCTTGTGTGCGCCGCATCTCCTCGGAACGGCACGCGAGTACGTTCGGTGATGTTATTACGTAAAGCGGGGCCTACAATGAGAATTTAAGACGCAGGGTTTAAGAAACTGACCAATCGTAATCGGTTTTTCTTCTGTAATTCGACTGTGATTGGTCAATTTCTTAAGACTTGGAGCTTAAAGCATCCATTTAGACCGAGACTAAAGCCGGGTCTACAATGAGAATTTAAGCTCCAAGCCTTAAAAGATTGACCAATCACGATTGATTATTCTTCTATAATTCAATTGTGATTGGCCAATTTTTTAAGGCTTGGAACTTAAAACATCTATTTAGACCGGGACTAAAGCGGGGTCTACAATGAGAATTTAAGGCGCAGGGTTTAAGAAACTGACCAATCGTAATCGGTTTTTCTTCTGTAATTCGACCGTGATTGGTCAATTTCTTAAGACTTGGAGCTTAAAGCATCTATTTAGACCGAGACTAAAGCGCGGTTTACAATGAGAATTTAAGCTCGAAGCCTTAAAAAATTGACCGATCATCATTAATTATTTTTCCATAATTCGATTGTAATCGGTCAATTTCTTAAGGCTTAAAGCATCTATTGTAGACTAAGAGTAAGGCCGTATCGTCACGGCGGAAATGATAACGATAAATGGCCGATATTAATTACGTTAATGATCCAGCATTAACGAATCGCAGATACGAATGTCGCTTGACTTATCATCGACGCCGCCTTTCATACGGGAATGCGAGCCTCTAATCTAATTGCTGCGGTAATAAGTACGCTCTCCGTGCGCGCGCTCGCTTGCTGACAATCTCGATATGAGATTTTTTGCCGGCCGAGAAACAGCGGTCTCATTTGAACTTCCTCCTCGATGATTACCGCGCGGTGGCGGCGAGGAAATGCCACACGGAGGGAAACAATTTTTGCTGGAACAGTTTGTTCATATAGCGGACAGCAGAACAAAATTGGTTT